GTGATATCTGCTAGTAAGGTAAACCGGAAGGTTAGGGAGCAACACTGGATCTCAGCAGCATCTATCTCACTGATAGATGCTCGGAAACTCATTCCACCTGGCTCTGAACATAATGAAGAGCGGAGTCAGCTTAAGCGCAAGCTGACAAGAAGTCTACGCAATGATCGCGAACAGTGGTGGGTAGCGAAAGCAAGAGAGATGGAAAAGGCAGCGGCAATAGGTAATAGCAGACAATTGTTCAGACTCGTTAAGGAAACCGGAATTAGGAAACCGACCGTTAGCGAAACAATCTCAGAGAAAGATGGACATATTATACATTCTCAATCCAGGAGATTGGATCGATGGGCAGAACACTTTAGGGATCAGTTCAACTGGCCTTCAGCCACACTTCGGTTTCCCACGATCTCCAGTCAACCTGAATGGCAAGTTAATGTAGGTCCTCCGTCTCTTTACGAAGTTGAAAAAGCCATAGGAAATCTGAAACGAGGGAGAGCAGCAGGCCCTGACAGGTTTACTCCTGAGATTTTTAAGGATGGTGGTCCAGTATTAGCAATGAGATTAACTGAGGTCTTAGGTAGAATTTGGGAACTGGACGTAATCCCATCTGACTGGTCTCAATCACTGATTGTGCCAGTCTATAAGAAAGGACAAAAGTCCTCTTGTGACAATCACAGAGGAATCAGTTTGACTAATATAGTGTCTAAAATATTAGCTTCAATAATACTTCGACGCCTAATCAAAGCTCGTGAAGAGCAGACTAGAGAAAACCAGGCTGGTTTTCGACCTGGACGTGGTTGTATAGATCAGATATTCACACTACGTCAGGTTCTAGAACACAGACACACATTCAGACGCCCCACAATGGTAGTATTTCTCGACCTTAAGGCGGCATTCGACTCTGTTGATCGTGAGGTTCTATGGCAGTGTTTGTCACTGAAAGGAGTACCAAAGAAGTACATTAACCTTATAAAGGCTCTCTACTCGAACACAACTGGTAGAGTGAGAGCTTATGGCGAACTGTCATCAGAATTGATTACCTCAAGTGGTGTTCGTCAGGGCTGTCCACTCTCCCCATTCTTGTTCAACTTTGTCATTGACGTACTTTTAGAGATAACACTCTCCTCATCTAAATTTTCAGGGGTTGAACTTCTACCAGGAGGTTCACTTGTTGACTTAGAATATGCTGATGACATAGTTTTATTTGGTGAAGACGCTGACAAAATGCAGAGTCTTCTGACCACTCTAAGCAACAATGCAAGCATGTTCGGGATGCGATTCTCCCCTCGAAATGCAAAATGTTGCTTCAGGATTGGGTTACATCGACACCCGAACTAATGATAGGGAGTGAAGTAGTTGAGTGTGTCGATCGCTTCACTTATCTTGGAAGTCTCATCAGCCCTTGTGGTCTGGTGTGTGACGAAATCTCAGCACGGATACAGAAGGCTCGACTAGCTTTTGCCAACTTGCGTCATTTATGGCGTAGGCGAGATATCCGTCTATCAACCAAAGGACGGGTTTACTGCGCAGCAGTTCGTTCCGTCCTACTTTATGGCAGTGAAACATGGCCGGTAAGAGTAGAGGATATTCGTAGGTTACTAGTATTTGATCATAGGTGTCTTCGAAACATTGCTCGTATATCCTGGGACCATCGAGTAAGTAGTGCAGTTGTTAGGAAACGGGTACTAGGTAAGGATGGCAAATCAATTGATGAAGTAGTGAAACTTCATCAGTTGAGATGGCTGGGACACGTGTTACGTATGCCCAACGACCGACTGCCTCGACGTGCGATGTTCAGTGGTATAGGAGTAGGTTGGAAGAAAGCTAGGGGCGGCCAGACCAAAACATGGCACAAGTCCATGAAGTCACTGACAAGTGGACTGAGTCATGTTGGTAGGTGTAGACTACCTGGTTGGGGACCGCGAGATGATAGCAACCGATGGTTAGAGACCCTGAATGACATGGCTCAAAATCGTTTGCAATGGCGCAGGTGCATCCACTCTTTGTGTTCTCCCAAATTTTGATCTCCTTATTCCTCCTTGTCTCTTTTTTTTCTCCTCTCAAATTTATTTCACTGTATTATACTCTTTAAGTAACATCTCCAAACACTAATCTTCCCGATTACTGCTTATACTCTTATTACCTCTACTACTACGGGATTTGAATCGACCACTGCATCTCTGTGCTAATGTGGTATGGCAACTCGAACTGATGTACGTACGTACGAAGTTCTACGTTGTTAATGACTGACTGACTGAAAGTAGAAGTGAGCGAACTGCTGTGCAGGAAACTCACTTTTTGGTCAGAAGACGAATATCTCGCCTACTCAACAAGTGATGCAAGGTGGCGAAAGCTAATCAAGCCTTCTGGATACACATATCATTTCCTACATTGACTTTGATTGCCAGAATAAGTTTTGGGTGGATTTTGCGAACAAGAAAATGATTTTTATAGAGTATTACTATCAAATGGAGAACCACTGGAAATCAAGGATTATTATGCTTGATATACTTTTACACATTATTGATTACTGATCCTCAATATCATGTATATCAAATACATTTTAGTACTGACTAATGGTCAAATTGTGACTTGATCCATAGAATTTGATCAACACTAAGAAGGATTTGACATACATAACATTGAATAGTATTCAGTGATCAATTAGTTATAAATACAGATCAGTTCTACAGGAGATCAGTAAAGGTTCGAATAGACCAGCGTCCGCGTCTTTCATTGTGAATGTGAGTCACAGGTGTCGAATCCACCTGGGAGCACCAGTTTCTTTAAACATACAGGTAAACCTCACTGAAGAGTCCCGAAAAGCACGGAATCTGAGTCCAGGGTTTCTTGTCGGCTATCTTCAACCACCGTTGCATACGATTCCTTTTCGTTTAATATATCTATTGGGCACTAACGACTTAAGACTGAATAGAAAATAACGGACCTTGATGTATTACAATAAACATGAGTCCAGTATTTCACAACCTAAGCTTTAAATAGTTCATGCAGTAGGGCGATCCTCACAGAAGGTCAACTAAGTAGTAAGTTCCCCAAATGCCCTAGTGCGGCCGAGAGTGAGGAGAGTCCACCCACTCTCTCGAAATGCTCTCACATGGCCACGTGTAAATAGCCTCTGCCAGGGAAGTCCTACTCACCGCCTCGTGGCGAGGGTGTTGTTTGCGAAATTGAGAGGACCAAAATAGAATGTACGGCGCTTTAACCGGGTTGGTGGACACGGAGAGTCCACCTAGGGGGGTTGGAAAACCCTGATTCCAAACCAATGATGCACATGGGCTTCAGTACCCCGAAGGAACAAATGGTGTATGAGCCAATCGTTGGTCACCGGCTACCGTGGGACTGCATCTCCTTACGTTGCTCCACTGCCTTGTGGATCAGACCTTCAGGTCGAAGGCTCGGGAAGTGACCCTCTAAGAAAACTACCTGCTTCGGTTTGGGCACCCGGGCAGTATCATAGCCCTCACACAAAACAAATGAATTTTGTGTGGCGCATATGTATTTGGTGCCTTCTTGTACCAATATCTATTTGTTCAAATAAATAAATAAGTTTCCTACTCTAGTTGAATCTACCAAAATTGACAACTTCCCACCAAAAGTCTAAAGTGTCCTTATTGTTTCAGAGGTTCTGTTGCTGGTGTCTACCTATAATGAAAGCTACGAAACTACTGTATGTGAAAATTACTGATAAAGATACACACTCAAATGCTGCCGCTGACCACCATGCAATAATAGGGCATATAATTAATGTACCGCAACAAACCATGTTCGTGAATGACTTGAGTATTTGATGAAGTTCTTATCAAATAATATTTTAGCTGTGGAAAGAAACTATGTCTGATACTAATAAACCGTATGTAGGTAAATCATAGGATGATTGAATTATTTGTTTCCTTCCAAAAAGATTCCCATTTCTAATCAAAAACTATAGTTGGGTAGCTTGATATAGAATAAAAGGATTGTGACTATTAACACGATTCAGAACACATGTTTCATCTTGTTTGAAATTCATTGGTTAGGTGTACCTGCAACCCAGTAGATTTTAATTAAGATGTTCAGTTGACTACGGAAGTCAGATAGTCACTAATTTGTTTGACTGCTATGGAAAGCCTTTCCAAGTACAATATGCATTCACTCAATGGTTTACAAGTTGTTAATTTGTAATTTAGATGCCCATAAAACAAACCAATGTTTAAAGTTGAATTATTTACTACTATTGATTACAGTAAACTTATGTACATGAAGATTGTTAAAAATCACATTTTATACATGAAAAAAACTCAAAAGTGATTCGTGAAAACATCAACAGATATTTTTAAACATTTTCCACTTGCCTTGATTAACTCAATTATATAGTAAACTTAAAGTTTAATTCCATTGGATAAATCTTTGTTTCAGTATAAAATAACTACTAGGCTTTATGATCAATGTGAATTCGAGAAGAGATATTGTACGATAGGGACGAAAAACAAGCAAATATTTAAGTCATTAACACATAATTTTTAAAGTTTATACCTCAGTATCATTGATAATTGAAAGATTGAGTGTTCGAAAAATCTCAAGATGAAAAAAGGGGAATTGGTGATTATGTTGCACAGAAGTATAGTTAACAAACTTTTTTCCCCACTATTAATCGATAAGTGGAATGTACTCAGTCATCTAGTATATAAATTTGTCGTACATAATTTTTCAACATAAATTAGATGGACACGAGGGTATAAATCAGTAAATAATTAGGTGTGGATAAACACAGTTGGGGAGTTTTATTTTGAGGCGAAACAGCTATCCAGTGCTTTCTGTTTTTCAAAAAAAAATACTAGGCTGTGATGTAAACCATGAAAATCTATTTATTCAAACATTTTAAGTGGTTAAATATCTTAAAATTAAATGAATAGTATTGATAAATATTAAAATATACCGCTTTAACGTGAGTTAGTGAAAGTTTAACAGAACAACAAATCAAAACATTCATAGGAAAATAATACCTTGAATTCTTCAGAATTTTGTGGTATTACTTCAGTCACTTGTGCATATAAATGATATGCTTTCACATAGGATAATAGTTCCGCTTTGTGTTTAGAACCTAGAATACATTGTTTCAAATAAAAAATAATATGAAAAGCATTGGATATTTTTTCTTTACCTATATTCATGAGGTTTTTAACGGAAAAAAAAATACAAAGTGTTGCAAATAATTTAGTGGAAAGACAAGTTTTCAGTCAAATGTTATGACTTCGACTGAAGATGATCACTCCACACCATCATTGTAAACTTCAAACTTGGGAAAAAAAATTAGATATCTTAGAACATAGAAAAATTCCAAACTACCAACAAAATGATTTCGTGCTTGACTTTTAGCTGTTTGTGATCGTTAGTGATATTACAACATAGACGTCGTAAACAAGGAAATTGAACCGGGTTCAAACAGGATTTCATGGTTGAACTACAAAGCTACTGATTATTTAATCAATAACATAAAAAATAATAATAAAATCTATTCGTAAAAATCCATACAATAATTAGATCCTTATGCACGGACAATGGGTAAGCAAATAATTATAGGTATTTTGCCTGTCTATCACTCTCTACAACTAAACTAGAGATAATTTGTTTGACAGTCGTAAAACAAGGAATATCTGTAATATTTGTGTTAAAAGATTTTTTACAATAAGGATTAACAGTTATTCAGCTTTAAGTACTTCCAGGTCAGTGTTGCCTAAACATCCTATTCAACACATATTACACTTAGAATAGAATTAGTATTTTGCTTGGTGTGAATAAATTCCAATGTCCCCAAATGCCCTGGTACGGTTAATGGTGTAGAGAGAAAGCTTTCCCTCTCAAAATGCTCTCATATGGCCTCGCGTATACATCCACTATCAGGGAAGTCCTACTCACTACCTTCTCGCGGTGGGGGTGTTGTTTATGAAATTGAGAAGATGAAAAGGAAACGTCAGGCACTTTAACCGAGTCGGTGGTAACGGAGAATCCAACTAGGGAGTTAGTTAAGCCTTGTTTCAAACCAATGGTACATATGGGCTACAGTATCCAGAAGGAACAAATAGCGTATGAACCTATCATACGAGTGAAATGTCTTATTGGTGGACCAAATATAGTTTAACTTAAGAAAAATAAACCTTACAACTTACCGGAATCAATCAAATGTAGAACAGCTTTTGAATATTTCTTTAAGCTATGATCAATTTTAAATTGTTGATATGCTATAGCCTCTTCCATGGTATCACATTGATATTTTTTCAAGTCATTTGTTATAGAATTTAATTCGTTTAATTCAGCTAAATATTCTTTTGGATCTAGTTGTGTACGCTGTGCCATTATTGTAGCAAAATTTAAATCATATGTACCTAATGCAACTTTATACAATTCAATTGGTGTGGCAAAATATTGTAAATGACGTAATCCATTATTCCATGTATTTATATCTCCATTTTCTAAAAACAATGGATTAACAGTATTATATAATAATAGAAATCATTTTATAAACTATAGTATTTAGTAGGGGATGTGCTTGTAGAATAATTAGCTTAGTAAAGGATTATTCTCCAAAAAAGTTTGTTCTTAAAGCTATACCATCGTACAAATATATGCATAACATCATAAAGTTATGAACATGGAGCTTTGAACTGTATCTATATTAAAAACAGTTTTCACCAAGTTAGATACAAATCTACTTAATATCGTTTGGGCAGACCATTTGAGTGTGAGAATTACAAGATTGTGTGTGTACGATTCTGTTTAAAAAGCTACTGAAATCTCTTGGGAAGAGTACAGAGAGGTGCTACTCCATGATTTCGATGGTTTACGACAAAAGCCATGAGAAACTAGGCTTTTTTATACGTAGATTTGAAGGTAACTTAATTATGATACAAAGAAATGATTTTGGACTTACTATGTCCTCTCTATTACTTAAAACTAAATGAAGAATATTTGGTGGACATAACGCGCAGACCTAAACACTAAAAACGCCGTAGTATACAGGTTTTCTTAAGGTGTACTCAACCTTACTATTGGAAGTTCTTTCTAAACCTTCAATTGACTCATCTAAGAGAGGACTAGAGCCACACTGAAGCATATTATAACAGGATTAACACATGCCTCGAACCTTCTGTCTGTAAAGCATAAATTTTAATGTGAATAGGTATTCAGTGGACATTTACGATAAAAAACGACAATGAAATGTAGAAAATGATAAATCGATAGAATATGCAGCGTAGATATGAGTATAACCATCATTCAGTTTGAAATGAAGACCGTCGAAAGTACAAAATAATCACAAGTTCCAGTTAGAAATAATCTATTTCTTATGACAACAAGCTAGCCATATGATGAAGTAGAGATATTTTTCAAAATATTACGTAAGCGTATGCTTTGGAAAAATAGTTGTAGCAAAAAGGCTTATCAAACAAACTGTCATGATAAGTACGTACTCGGTTTTCCAATTATGAATTAAACTAATGTGATGTGATGAAAACTCCCCAATATTTCTGAATGGATTTTATAGGTGATGCCAGAAGAAGAATCTAAGATCGAATGACCTGAGACTTCCACATGTTGCAGGACAGAGAATGTAATAGGTCTGTGATGCTCTTTGCTAAGCCAACTAAATGTGTTGTCGAATATGACGACAAGTATACCCATGAACTATCTACATGACGATACCGTTAACAACAGCAAGTGGATTGGTATGCACAATGAAGTGATTGGCTGTGCAGTGAAATGATTAGTCTCATTCAACTTATGACTTTGTGAAGACATACTTTAATACGGTCCGCACTTTTAATGTTTTGAGAATATAATTATATAATTCAACTAAACTTTATTACAGTTATATCAAATTATATCCCCGAGTCCATCAGTGCCGAAGTAGATGCAAAATGTCGCACTTAAGCTAAGAATGAAGTTTTACCAGTTACTAACAGAATACTTACTAACAACAGATTAATGAGCAATTTTAGTGAGGAAACTATAATCGAATATCTCTAAAACGAGAATATAAAATGGGAAGAAAATCGAAAGTAAATTGCGTAATTAGCTTCCTTTTTTTAACTAAAGTGAATTTCTGAAATTTGGGATAGAGATTTCCAGAAGAGACATTTTCAGGATGTGAAAAACCTGAGACCGTATAACTCTATTCCCTTAATCAGAAAGTATGTTCCGTCATACAGCACCATGTAAACTGATGACTGAAGAGCCTACATATGTCGTGAAAGACTAAAACATCCACATGAAATGGTTATCCAGCAGAGCTATATTATAGATTCCATTGAAGTTGGGAATGGGAAAAGACTTTTAAAAACAGTTTGAGCGCTGAAAGATTACAGAGGAAAAATAATATGTGGTGACAAGGATAAATTTCCCTCCCGAAATTCCTTTGGTTTCAAAACAGAGAAGCCAATTTTGAACACGAAACAACCCAATAATGATGTAAACATTAAATATACTTGCTTTGTACTACAAATAAGTTTTTAATAGTCCTTGTGATTGACTCAAAATTGGCTTCAATATCTCAAGATCGACAGTACAATTGAGCTTAACTGACGAATATTTACACGAAAACAACACTATACTTGTAAGTAGACTAAGAGATTGTGAGAAAAAATATCGTGACAAGAACTAGAAAGCGTGGTTTGTTTCTTCTTGATAATTTCAAGCTAAAATTTTGCACCTACTAACAGTCAATAACTTCATAAACTAATGTCCCAATTCGTCTAGGCTCTCCTAGATTTCTTCCAGCGTATAATTACGTCAACATACAAAACTTATCAAGATAGGTGGTGATTGATTACAAATTATACACGTCCCAACCATTTCAGTAGATTACGGTTTATTATCTCATCAACCCAGTCGCCATTCCTACCTATTACCCTGAGTTTAACTTCATCTTCTCAATCATATATTTCGGTCATGAACGAGTAATACATCGAAGGCATCAATGATCAGAGATCTACGAATGTTCTCTATTTTTAAAGACCAATTCATAACCATAAACTTACTTACTTGCGCCTGTTACTCCTCGTGAAGGAACATAGGCCGCTCACCAGCATTCTCCATTTAACCCTGTCCTGGGCAATCCTTTCTAGCTCCGTCCAGTTGTAATTCATCCTTTTCATATCTGCTTGTATAATCCGACGCAATGTGTTCTTTGGCCTTCCTCTTTTTCGCTTCCCTTCAGGATTCCAAGTTAGGGCTTGCCTCGTGATGCAGTTTGACGATTTGCGTAATGTATGTCCTATCCATTTCCATCGTCTTTTCCTAATTTCCTCTTCAGCTGGAAGTTGGTTTGTTCTCTCCCACAGAAGGCTATTGCTGATGGTATCCGGCCAGTGGATGTTGAGTATCTTGCGAAGACAGCTATTTATAAATACTTGTACTTTCTTGATTGTGGTTGTTGTAGTTCTCGAAGTTTCAGCTCCATACAGTAGAACTACCTTGACGTTCGTATTGAAGATTCTCACTTTGATATTGGTTGAAAGGTGTTTTGAGTTCCATATGTTCTTCAATTGTAGGAATGCGACCCTTGCTTTGCCGATCCTCGCCTTTACGTCTGCATCTGAACCTCCTTGTTCATCGATGATGCTTCCTAGGTATGTGAAGGACTCTACATCTTCCAGAGTTTCGCCATCAAGAGTGATTGGATTGCTGTTCTCCGCCTTGAATTTGAGGACCTTGGTTTTCCCTTTGTGTATGCTGAGGCCTACTGATGCAGAGACTGCTGCTACACTGGCTGTCTTTATCTGCATCTGTTCGTGTGTACATGATAGGAGGGCTAGGTCATCTGCGAAGTCCAAATCGTCTAATTGATTCTGAGCTGTCCAGTGTATTCCGTGTTTTTCTCCAGATGTAGAGGTCTTCATAATCCAGTCGACCATCAGAAGAAAGAGGAAGGGAGAGAGTAAACAGCCTTGTCTGACTCCGGTCCTTACTTGGAATGCATCTGTCAGCTGTCCTCCATGCACTACTTTGCACTGTAGTCCGTCGTATGAGTTCCGGATAATATTGACAATCTTCTCAGGAACTCCGTAGTGTCGAAGAAGTTTCCATAATGTCCTCCTATCTACACTGTCAAATGCCTTTTCATAATCAATGAAGTTGATGTACAGTGACGAGTCCCACTCAACTGATTGTTCAACGATGATCCGTAGTGTCGCAATTTGGTCTGTGCACGACCGATCCTTACGGAATCCAGCTTGTTGATCTCGAAGTTTGGCGTCTACTGCATCCTTCATCCGGTTCAGCAACACTCTGGTGAAGACTTTCCCTGGTATTGACAGTAGTGTAATCCCTCTGTAGTTTTCACATTTGCTCAGATCTCCTTTCTTTGGAATCTTGACGAGGTGTCCTTCTTTCCAGTCCATCGGCACTTGTTCCTCCTCCCAAAATCTTTTTGAATAGAAGGTAAAGCATGTTCATAACCATAAAGCGGAACAGAACGTGTAGTATACTCATCGTTTCATTGGAAAACGGGCATCTTGTCAACAACAAAAGTGACGCACTTTGGTATAACTTGATGCAGCTTCCTGAATTCGTGCTAAGGTACTGTCAGATACAAACCTATCTCTTAGATTCGTGGTGTTAGTTACAATGAAGCTTGAACCCATTACGTAACGTTTCAAATAACAACACAGTTTTAAATGAGGTGATAGATCCAAGTATCTACTGACTTATCTAAGGGATATGATGCTTATATTATCATAATCAAGGGTTTGAGTTGTTCCGCTGTTAATAATCAGGAATGAATTGGCATTTTTGGCAACAGGTATTGAGAGCAAATCCCAATATAAACATCAACAATGGGATCCCGGGATATCTAACTGATGAGTCAAAAATAGGACGACAAAGTGAGTCTTGAATTTAACTGATAATCACAATATATATTTATTCGAAACAAACATGCACATAGGGAAACAAGCAGTATCATTTTAAACGGACATCTAAATTATTATGTATTACTTTTATCGAATTCTCAATATCAAATTACTTCTGTTTATGGACTCACTGAACTAATCGAACATTAATAAATATCAGTAGTCATGTACAAAGTGTAGGGAAAATGAAAAAAAAAGTAACTATTATTAAACAAACGGAATTTGGCTATTGATTGATAAAGATATTGAGTCCCAAAAACTTTTTATTTACAAATTAAGGAAAAATGGAATAAGAAAATACAATGTTTGTACTTTTTGTTAAATAAAGTATATAATGCATACATCCAAGACTAGATAGATACATCGATTAGAATAAAACTAAATTTGTTCTCATTTTTATTATGAATCTTATTGGTATAAAATTAATGGGTAATAAGGGAGGAGGGGAGCTGGACGAAAGGAGGAAACAAGTTGAGCAGTTATCAGTAGTAAATTATCATATTGATATATAAGACTAACTAAGAGATTATAAAACTATTGTTATTCATAGATTAGTTGGGTGATTTGAGGAAGTAAAAAGTGCAAACTACTTGTAACAACTATTTACACCACAGATCAAAATAACCACTACTACTACAACCCACTGTGTACAAATTGTTCAGAATTTAGCTTTTTTTAAACGTTGCACCAAGCCAAATGTCACATAATACCGTTTAGAATATTCTTCTGGAGAAAAAAATCATCAGTTTGAATAAATACGATGTTCAATTGAGGTTTGAAATAATAATCCTAATACATAGAGTGTTATTATAGGTGTGTGGGTAGATATTACCTTTTGTTGCCACACTGTGGAAGAATACTCCTTGGGTGATTTAGAGGACCTGAGAATAAGACCGAGGCCAGTTACACACTGTCTTTCTGTGAGTAGTCATAAATGTGTTAACTTTGTATTTCAAAGACCTTACAACCAAATACAAAAATCTGTGGGGAAAGGTAAGCTGTAACATTTATAGGATTGACCTTTTCTAATCTCTTTCTTTAGTTATGAGAAGACTGCATAGTTGCAGATGATGGTTATCTGAGGGAAATACCTTAATGTCATCGCGATCTTGTATAGTTGGCAGTGACACTTTGCCTCGGACATCAAGTTGCTGCTTTTAGTCTTACCGTTCTCCAACTGATGTGCGTAGAATGACAGGATCTAAACGAACAAATGTTTCAGTCGATATAGTTCCAGTGGATCCTTAAGATATGTCAGCCTGATCACCAACTACATCAATGTACAAGCTCTGTTTGGGGATTCCTAATTAAGATATTCATATACACGTGTAAGCAACAAAGTTAAATTGAAGAGACAGTAATATGGGCATTATATCTTAGAAAATTTTTTACTGAATAATTTAGTGAATGAGTATACATTCATGGAAAAAAATGGAGATTTGTATCTCAGGTGAATCTTTCTTGGTAATGTTCTTTAGAGTTGAATGATCTACTCATAAAACTTTCAAATGGTATGGCATTTAGGTAAATATGCAATCCATAAGGAAAAATGTTAACAAATCATATGGTCAGAATTTAACTGAACAAAGCAGCCAATGGGAACAAAAGCATACGAAAAGATAAAATCAATTATGATAACCAGTCAAAGAAGGCAAATGTTAGTACTGTAATTATGTAAAACTGATAAACTGCGGTAGTATAAGCATATTACGCGTCAATGCACACATGTCCTCTCAGTTTAAACAATAGATGGAAAGATTAAAAACGAGGCAGATTGTTAAGATTGTCGATTAGGCATGCGCTTTCATGAAATGGAAGAAAAATTCTGTAACAATGATTTGAGTATATATTATTTCAGTCTACCGATTGAACTTTTCTACTTATTTCAGTTTTCCTTCTTTCATATTGGGATAATTAAACCGTATAAAGAATGAATACATGTAACTGAGTTAAATGACAGAACATAACAGAAACAACGACAATAAGCACCAGAAAGCATATTTACTGATTAATCAACTCCGTAAAAAATGTTTTTAAGAATACAAAAATACAATACACATGTATTATAACTCGATACTTGGCTTACCATGTAAAAGTTTTAATCTTAGTAAGCCAGCTTCATAGTTTGGTGGGACTTTTTTTGCATAACAAGTTATAATTGGCACAATTAATCTGTATTAATAGAGAAGGTATAAAAGTGTGTGGTAAATGACAGAAAGAAAGTATTGACGGTAAAAGTAGATTTATAACATTATGGTATACTAAAATTTAGAGAGTTTTAAATAATTCTCTTGAAGAAGTTTCCAGAAGCTTATAGAAATTTGAAAATATATCGTTTGAAGCAGTGGTTTTATAGAAACATCCCAGGACGTTCCGAAGAAAGCAATGTGCTACGTGTTTGAATAATTACATATTTTCACGAATATTTGCATTTTTCAAAAAGCTTTTGGAATATCAATGCCACAAATGATTTTGTAAGTATCCTTTTCCTCTGCACCTAAACTAACCTTAGGAGTACTTTTCAATTTTAGTATTTTGTTCGGGGTTTCAAGTGTAGATTTCGGGCGGAAGTAGTGAGAAGTCACTGAAAAGTATTTAAGAACATAATTTACTGAAAAGACATCTTTTCTGTAATGGAATATAACTGATTGATAAAATTACTTGAGTAACTGAGGTAACGACCTTACAGATAATTTTGTGCACAAAACTGTACACCAAATCTAAAATGAATCGGTTTTAGATGATAGAACCACCGAGAAACTCATCAAATGAATCCAGGGATGAAAAATGTTAATTAAAAACTTCGATATAACGACTTATCGGATAAACAAAGATTACTTAAGGTTAGGGTTAAAATTACCAAATAATCAATGATCATACACTTCTGACAATAATATCAGTTTTGAAAGCAACTCGACAAAAATGTATATGGATATTAGTGTATACTAGAATTTGAATTCAACAGTAGTTGGAATTAATATAGATTTAAAGATATGTTTTCGAAAATATTTCGAGATTAAGAGAGAAAGGAACGTTCTATCCTCAACAGAGTTTTTCATTTACACAAAGCATTATAAACAATGACGAGTTGTAGAATTAATTTTAACCAGGAAAGAACTAAACGCCTTAAAAGAACAGCGCTCAGTTGGTGATACATGTCTTCAGAAACCCACACAAGTTCTTCAATATTCAGATCCGTAATTACAGAACAAAGTTAGACTAAATAATGTACGAAATGATGTTATATAAGATTGAATTTTACAATCCCGTTAACTGTAAACAGGCAGTTGCAACTGAGTTACACTAACAACTTAGTCATTGGACGTACACCAACAGATATTTTCCACTTACTGGTCAACACATAGCAAACGCTTTCACTCCAAACAGATCAAAAGACATTACATTATTAACTTCTTAGAGAGAGAAGGATGTTGTAAATGGTTTAATAGCTGAAAACCTGTTTGTAATTAATACTACCCTAGTAATAATTCTTTCCTAAATTTGAATTGATCTTTTTTGCGTTTTGAAATTTCTCACATCGAGCATTCCTCATCTTTAACATAGTCAAAGACTATTTTCCTTCTCTAGTTGTTTCTTGGACTTTACATACTACTTACAGATTAATAGAAAGAAAATTGTAAAGGTACTGATACGCAATATATGTCAAGTCGATCACGGCCATTAACAGGAAACACAGTGCACTTGGTATCGAGTCATTAGGATGGTGTAAAATATTTTGTCTTGATCGATAGGATTCGCTTAATATTAGTGGCTAGGTAGACATGATATTGGTGATAACTCAGTGAAAAATCAAAGTAAATAAGTAATAGAGGTTATTAATTTCAATTGGTGTATCAAATGAATATTCTCTTGAGGACCTGACTTTCAGATTGGTTATTATATAGGAAGACATATGAAGCTGCTTATGCTCATTGTTCGAAATGGAAGCTATGAGTATTTCACTAATACTTAATACATAGATTGAAATGATGGTTTAATGACTTATTTAATATTTGTATTCTGATGTATTAATTAACTCAGAATTTTCCTAAGCGATCAGCCAGAAACTGTAGGTCGGCTTTCTTTAGAAATCAGAATTCTAACGTATAGGAACTTTGGTAAAAAAATAGCTAAACTATCTCACCCATTACATGATATTAACGCACAAGTTATGGAAAGAATTAGCAAACTGTCAGATTGATTATTCTACAAAATTGGCACTTTATATAAGTACTCAGGCATTTAATTCAAGATGATGTGCAATTTTCAACACATGTACATGCATACACACAAACTTCAGTCAGTCAGCTACAACACAGAACCAGGCACATATACGCATCGGTCCAAGTTGCCATACCTCATTAGCACAACAAGAAAACACTAAATTCATAGAAGCAGTTACTTCAATGGTAGTAAAGAAAGATTGCATCAGTCCAAGTTACAAAACACACACACCTCCAAATTAACTTGTTTTTATTCGAAAGGACTTTCAAGTGCTTACTTGGTTGGATTATGCTTCTCCATTTCATCAATAAGAATATCAGTTATTCGGTCAAGCTTAGATGTTTTTAGAGTTGATCGATGGCGCTCGGAAGATTTAGAATAAAATTTATGATAAATTGTTTCTGTTACATCTTCCTCACTAGAATTTTCGATAGAAAAAAGAGAAGAAAATGAGACAGGATTAATAAAGATTAAAAGTACAATGAAAGAGAAACACCAAATAAACGGTAGTTTTAGACTAGGACATTGGTGATCACATGGGTAATCAATTAATTGAAATAATTATTTGTATATATGTGACAATGTTGACATTAAGCATAGGTTACAAAGTAAAGATGGCAAATCGGTTGATAAGGTAGTGAATCTTTATCAGCTGAGGTAGTTGGAGCATGTGTTGTGTATGACAGACCACCGTCTACCTCAACGAGTGATGCTTGCTAATGCAGAAGTTGAAATAAAGATAAATGAGGCCAAACTAAAACATGGCATTAGTAAATGAAGTCAATGACCATTGGTCTGAGCCATGTATGTTAGGTGAACACTAACTGGTTGACGTCCGTGTGATAATCACGAGTAGGGGCTGACGACATTGAGTGAAATGGTTCAGCATCTTTCACAATGGGGTAGGTTACATCAATTCCTTATTTTCCTCTCGATCTTAAATTCCAGTATCCCTGAGTATGTACCGTTTCGCTCTGTTTTTTCAAATCATATTACCAAAATTTAGTCTTTTCTGTACATTATTTTGATCTCTTTTGTTATATTCATCTCACCAAACTAATGAAGTATGGTTACTTGGGCTAATGCACATCTGTTCCAGGCTTTATGATGATAATATCTGTTTGTCTGTGTGTGTGGTAAAAGACTAACATAAAACTTGAAAGGCGTATATTTCTTCTACTTTTTACCCCACATACTACTATGATAATAGCAGGAAGCGATTTGCTAAATAACTGACTACCCTATCACTTTAATCGATGAAAACTGATAGCATTATCAATTAACTAATTCTTTTGATCTAATCAAATACACTAAATTATGTGCGCGTTTTGATTTCACAATTAAACCAACCTAGTCGATAAGTAAAAATTCGTGTATACATTGATTTGAACTGTACTATTTGTATAAGAACCGATGTTGATGATATCCTTCTATCTAAACAGGGTACAAAACAGAGTTTAAATTTATAATCTTATTTATAGAACGGTCAGAGCTTGAAATAACACGGCAGTACTCGTTTAGAACTATTAATAAGTACATGTAATGAATATATATATAAACAGATAGATAGATAGATAGATAGAATTTGACTTACACAAGATCAGATATAAATAATGTGATCAAATCAGGATCGCCAATTGATTGTAAGAATTGTTTGACATTTGATAGAAATAAATTAGGGTTATAATCATGTAATAAATTGAAATTGATCCGATGACGACGCATCATTTTAACAGCTTGTTCATATTGTTTACTTAAATCAAAATTATTTTTAAAAAATAAAACATAACAGTATTTATATATACGATGAAATGATGCATAAAGAATCAAATTAGTAAGAATAAACAGTCCTCAGAAAATCACTGAAGTAACATTAGATTTAATACTTAGAACTGATGGATTGTAGGTAGCGGTTGAGAATATCGAAACCAGGAAAAATGTAAACTCTTTCAGATTATAACAAAACATTATAACTTGTTGAGCAGATTAATAGTTAACTGAAGTGGCTTGCTTGGTGAATAACGTGAGGGGTGCATGAACAGAAAAGATATTGAAATTTAAATCACAATGTGAACATCAACACATAGATCGAGGTACAACCGGCGGATGGATCTCAGATATGACGAAAAACAGACTTAACTTCACTGCAAGTCACAGTCCGTTTATTCAAAATAGAAACCCATGACATGGTTAGCCTGTGACAATCTAGTCATGATGTAGCACATAATGGTATACATGGTTTCAGGAAGACTGGTTCAGTATTCGTATTCGGTGGTAGCATATAACTTTTGATCAGTCAGTGAGTTAAGGTCGCTTAGTTAGGACAGGATTTCCACCATAGGCGAGCAGCTCTAGGAGTTGAAATATAAGATACGCAAGATGAGAATAGTTAAGTGACGTAGTATAAAAGAAATAAAAACAAATGTTATCAAATGATTGTAAATATGACTTGTCTGAATGAGCATTAAAGCACGAGTAATTTTTCCAGTAGTAATTATCGTTAATCCTTAATGAAATAATTCAAACCCCTTTTATTTATTTATTTAACACATAGATATTGGTACAAGGAGGCACCAAATACATATGCGCCACACAAATCTCATTCGATATGTTGAGGGCTGTGATACTGCCCGGGTGCCCAAACCGAAGCAGGTGGTTTTCTTAGGGGCCACACCCGAGCCTTCGACCTGAAGGTTGATCCACAAGGCAGTGGTGCATCGTAAGGAGATGCAATCCCATGGTAGCCGGTGACCAACGATTGGTTCATACGCCATTTGTCCCCTCAGGATACTGGAGCCCATGTGCACCATTGGTTTGGAATCCGGTTAAAGCGCCGGACATTCGCTTTTCGTCCTCTCATTTTCGTAAACAACACCCCCGCCACGAGAAGGCAGTGAGTAGGACTTCCCTGGCAGAGGCTATATACGCGTGGCCATGTGAGAGCATTTCGAGAGGGAGAGTGGACTCTCCCCACTCTCGGCCGTACCAAGGCATTTATAACAATAATAATGATAATAATGATAACCTAGCTTACTTATTAAGTAATTTGGATAAATGTGCCAGTACAAGAGCACGAGGATGAATTTCTTCCAAATTCCCACGTGGCATTTGTAGTATGACTTTGGTATCATTTGGTATCGCTGTTACAATGATTGCACCGGATTCGATTGGATGTAAATTATCATTATACCAGTTACGCGGTGGTTTACGTGTACTGGCGTCCAATTCAGAAGGAATATTCAATCGTGAAAGTAATTCTATGTTGAGATAATGGCAGAAAAAAAAGAGAAAAATAGACAAAAATGGGGATATTCCAAACGGTCATTAAGGATTTGAGTTTAGGGAAAATTTTTGCAAAGGAAAGAGCTTTGTTTACCTTTGGATTATCACAGATAAAAATTCAATCCTGGATATACATCAACAATCAAACAATGCAAACCTAAAATGTATCCCCCCTTGAACAAGTCAGTGGTTCATTGGATAGCACATTAGAAATTGAGGCGACAAGCAGTGAATTCGAATCTCTATGTGCGAACACTAACACTAGGATGTGATATCAATTATTTCGATTGGATACAACAATGATGACGTAGGATTAAGCTGTGCCAGTAGGTTAAGAAATCTTGATCTGAATATGATGCTTGAATCCACCAAGCAAAACAAGACAAAACCTACAATATCCCAAGTTTATATGGTAATCAGGTGCAAATGACTGTGATATATTGTAAATAAAAAATTAACTATCCAAACGAATTTACTGAAAAAACCTGGGTTAAATTATTGTAATGCGCATTATCAGAATGTGATGCTAATATACACAAGTTTTCTATGAACAAGCCCAATCAGCTTAAGTGTAAGGAAGCATTTTACGGTTAAACCGAATAGACAGACAACTTTTTCGTTTGGACGATCTCTGATTGGCTTGCTATATCACATTTCCCTCTTGAAAGAAAACAGGTCGGTCTGGTTTCTTGGGTTCAGTTCAAATATGGGAACTTAAATGGAGGGCACATCAGTTATCTACCTCAAAATATGTATTAGTTTGACTTTTTGAGTGATAGGGATTATCTATGCAGTCTCTGTTTACTCCTAATTAGTTGGGTTGGTTAGACTTCGAGAATGTACATAGTCGTTAGGTCAGAAAGTAGATTATCACATCGATAGCCGCACTTGATCATAGTGCTTCAGCTGCATAAGTTACTGATGCACTTCTAAATTTTCATTTTTCAACTGCCTTCGTTCTATTTGAATTATGTCTCTCATTTTTGGATTACCACTGTTTTTGATATTAATTCCCATCTGCTATGCTTCCTATCCAGTCGAATACCTTTCTCAGCGTTTTGATGTAAGGTATTGTTATGAATTTAAGTTGTGGTTGATTTTTATCCTGTGCTAATTGTTGTGTCCTTGACTGGAAAATTAGAGAGCAGCGCACTTATTGATCGATTCAATGACACGTAAACACGTCCGGACGGCCTAGAGTCTCGATTGGTCTCACTTCCCTGTCTAGCCCAGTCAGTTTAGTCCAGAACACAAGTCACAGCCTCGGAGATATGAATCATTATATTTCAAACATACTTTGTTTATATACCAATCAAGCATACTACATCGTACCATAAAATAGAAAACAACATTTCGTACAATATTCAACAAGTGAACAGATATCGGCCTATAGGAAATGTCCATTTAAAGTCCAAGGACACCACTGGACTTAACATGATAATTATTGGTCTATTCCTCCGCATCCACAACAGGTATACTGGATCTCGGAGTGATGTAAGGAATATCCATCATCTATCGATCAGTAATCGATGTCTCATGTTAATAAATCGGAAAGCCTCCTTTTCTGTAATAAGAAAGCAACCATTCTTATATCATCATTTACATCTCAGAAATAACTAAAATACCAGAAGTTATTAGAATGGAGATTTGTGAAGACTGTTGAATTTTCTCATTTATATTATGAACTAACTGTAAATAGGGAACTATTGAAAACTAGAAAGTGCTGGATAGGATTTCTTAAAAATGTACATACAAAATTATGCTAAAGAAGAAAAAAGAACTCAGCAAACCTTGAACATTTAGATCATTTGGGATCCAATAGTTTATATTTTTAAATTAAATCGATTTGTGAAATTTCACAATCATTATCTAAAATGCCCCCAAATGCCCTGGTATGGCCGAGAGTGGGGTGGGCCTGTCCACCCTCTAGAAATGCTCTCACATGGCCACGCGAATACAGCCTCTGTCAGGAAGTTGGTTACCGGCTATCATGGGACTGCATCTCCCCACGATGTTCCACTGCATTGTGAATCAAACCTTCAGGTCGAAGGCTCCGGGTGTGGCCCTCTAAGAAAACCACCTGCTTCGGTTTGGGCACCCGGGCAGTATCACAGCCCTCAACATATCGAATGAGATTTGTGTGGCGCATATATATTTGGTGCCTCCTTGTACCAATATTTATGTGTTCAAGTAAATAAATAAATAAACATTATCTAAAATTACCATTAACATTAACAATTCATACAATACATAGAAATATTGTTGTTTTATATTAAACTCAAATATAAAATGTATTACCTTTTAAAAGACTATTTGGATCATTAATTTGTGATACATTAAATACTAATGAAACGCATATTAACAATTTTTTTACATTAGTTACAATTAAAAATTCTGATAATCCAATTAATGAAGAGCAGGAATCTGTAATATTTAATGCAATAATATTATTTTGTTGAAAATGTCCAGTATTATGTTGTTTTGGTAAAACAGCAGCGAATAAACAATGTGTTGATTTATTAAAACCAAATAAAATTAAAGCAGAATAATTAACTGTTATGATTGATGAATTCAATTGGATAATATTATAATTGTATTCATCAAATACTGGTATACATAATAATTGTTCACAATTAGATGGAAATTGTATTATACAATTTAATGGATTATAAGAATGTAAATTATCAATATTGAATTCATTCATTTGTAGAATTTCATAACAATAATTGTTATCTAAAATGAATTTAATGTATAACAACATTATGAATAATCTGTAGTTTCAATATTTACACACAAACAAGTAATTTGATTAGTTTTTTTTCAGTAAAAATTAACAGTCAGTCAGCTACAATGTAAGACCACGTACATATATACATCGGTCCAAGTTGCCATACTTCATTAACACAACAAGATGAACACCGGATTCATAAAAGTAGTTAATTCAGAGGTGGTGATATATAAAACAAAGATTGCAATAAGGATATAGTACAGGAAGAAAGAATTCGTACGTGGAAAGAAAGATATGCAGCGATTTTAATCTCTTAGTTTAAGGGAAGATAGAGAGTGTGTACACCGACGCCATTGCGATCGATTCTGAGCCATGTCACCAAGAGTCTCCAACCATTGGTTACGACAGTCACGCGGACCCTAATCAAGTAGTCTGCATCTACCAACATGGCTCAGACTACAAGTTAGTGACTTCAAGCACTGATGTTACGTTTTGGTTTGGCCGCTCCTAACTTTCTTCCAACCATTAACAACACAGATAAAGATGCTATTATGTATGAAAATTGTATTTGAAATAATCTCAACAATTGAAATTCAAGTAATTCTAACGTTTCGTCCAAGCAAACTTGTCAGGACTTTTACAGGATGATAATAAAAATAAAAATTTTTGTTAAACTATTCATTTTAATATTGACCAATATTCGTACATACAGATAAAGATAGATTCATAATGAGAAGCATATCATAAAACATTTTTGTCAATATTTCAATATGTTATTTCTTTAAGGTAAATTTTTAGTCCCATACTTTCATCAATTTTGTTGAAAATGATTTTACTTCTTTGATAAATAATAATAATTAAGTGAATATATAAGTTGGTGGATACAAACCCAAATCACCTCTAGTCTTTAAATACAAAAGGATGGAGTTACCTCAGTCAGTTAGTCAACTACAACGTAAGACTAGGCACATATATACATCGGTCCAAGTTGCCACAGCTTATCAGCACAAGATGAACACCAAATTTATAGTAGTTACTTCAATAGTAGTAATATATAAACGAAAGATCGTGTATAATATAGGAAGAAAGAATAAGTACGTTGAAATAAAGGTATAAAGCGATTTTAATCTCACAGTTTAAGAGAAGACAAAAGTGTATACACCTACGCCATTGTGGATGCTGAGCCATGTTACCCCTAGTCTTCAACCATTGGGTACGATAGCCGCGCGCACCCTAACCAAGTAGTCTGTCTTTACCAACATGGCTTAGACTAGAAGTTAATAACTTCAAGGACTGATGCCACATTTTTGTTTGGCTGCCCCTTCACTTTGATGCCTTTTTACGTTGAAGAATCGATCCCACTAAGGTAGACATACAAAGCTTAAAATAATTTGTTGGGTATGAAAAAGTTAACTTAGGAGCCGGAGGAGGCTCAGAATAATTCTAATTCCGAAACAATAGTAGAAGGACATAAGGCATCTGCTGCTTTGTATTTAAAATTTTTAGATACATAGGTGGAAGTATTTTGAAAATCATCTGCTCAAACACATACCAAAACAAAATATGACCAACACAATTATTGACGAAGAAACATTAATAGCCAACTTCAGTAACATTAATAATAATAATAACAACAACAACAAGAATATTTGATAGCATAAATAAAGAATTTTCAACAAAAAAACATGCAAACTTCAAACAATTGTCCTGTTTTACAAATATTTTCCTTGTGAATACTCAAAAATATGCGTAGAAAGTTATTAAACAATGAATGTTTACGATTGATCATCTTTAAGGCGGCCTGCTTGAATATCTGGCTACCTGTTACTGACATCTAAGTATTTCAACAAGTTATCAGTTTTTTGTTTATTTTGACACATTATTATGTCTATAAATCGACTAACCTATTTAGGCACGTTTATGAAAAGTTTACGACCTTTCGATGTACATGTAAAAAAGTATAATTGGCGGCATTATGGTGGCTGGCAATATACATTGAAAAAAAAAGAATATTATTCAGATGTTGATTCCTGAACTACTGACAACTAACTGGCGATCACTTAATATATATCGCCAGGACCGATCAAGAAATAAGAAAAGGAAACTTGTTGAAATACTTTGTGCTGAGAATTCTATATTGTACCAAAAATATAATACTGAATAAAGCCAATAATAATCATACCCATTTTTATCAACGAATATATTTAATGCATTAATCCTATGGTAATCTGAACCAGTTTATTCAAGGAAAATAGAATGAAGAAAATGAACGAAGCCCTGTTGTGGTAATACCTAAGTTTATTAGAAACAAGCTTCGTAATACGTTGCAAGCATTTTATGAAAGTGTTAGTAAGATATAGATTGTATTGAAGCACGATCCATATAGGATTATGTTGGGGGACACTGATTGGTTATTCCTTATTCAATCAGCGCTAGTGGACACTTAAACAGGACTCTAGAATCTTCTTATATAAAAACTAAAAATATATTGACGTTTCTCTCATTGCGATCCCTACTTTCATCCAACCATTTTGTTTGAAATATAATTAAATTCCTGTTAAACCATGTTCTGATTTGGGGACTTGTCGAGTGAAGTAGTGTCCGACATTACTAAGCAATAGTAGTTGGGTCGTAATAAAAGAAACTACAACAGAAAGCGCATGAGTATACGCTGTTATCAGATATAATCAATTAAAACAAAAATAAAATATGAACATTTATGGCAAAAAATGTGCATTATTCTTATACACCAGTCAGTCAGTTGCAATATAGAACCTGGCACGTATGTACATCGGTCCAAGTTTTCACACCCCAATACTACAGAAAGATTAAATTGTTAGGCCGAATCCCAGAGTATTAGAGGTAGTAACAGTATCAGTGGTAATAGAAATTTTAGGCATCGAAAACACAATTCCAAAAAACATAAATTAGTAAAATGAACACACAAGACGTTATGAGTAATTCAGAAGCTTACAATTTAGGGGAAGACAAAAAATAGATGCACCTGTGCAAACGATTTTGAGCCCTGTAATTCAAACTCTCTAAACAGTGGTTACGACAATCGCGCGGACCCCAACGAGGTAGTCTATACACATAATGAGTCAATATTTCCAAAGAACTTATCTAATGTGAACAAAATTTTTACAATCATTTAAGAGCAACCTAGCAGTAAGACAATTATTCACTAGTCGCAGTAATTATAAAGGAAGCGGTAATTCAGGGCGTTCGAAACAATCGATGATCAATCAGTCATATAGTGTTAAGTAGCTCTCACTTAATGAAAATTTATGGAAGAGTTAATTTTACATGAACGTGTACTATGATAAATCCAAGTGAAAAAAAGACAAGCGCTAATCACATTGAACTACGCAATAGACCAATTCTAGAATCATATTAAATCTTCTAAAACTACCACAGACACAGTGTTGAAACAAAAGACAATTTGGGATACTTATATAATAAAAAGATCCAAATTACGTTCAAGGTTATGCATTCGATCTAGTGATATGTGTTTGGCATGTACTTTACTCAACAATCCTGAACAACCATAACGATAACGATGTAACATTTTTCATGGGTTGGCTGATTTTCAAAGGTTCACAAGATGAGAACATTAGTTCGTAACGAAAAACAAAATTTTCATTACAATAAAGTTTGAAATTATTTTCCAAAACTTTCATTGTCAAAATAATTTGGATATCTGACAAAAAGAAGTTTCAAACCTACTTAATATATCTTGAACAGAATAAATGTAAACAGTGCCATTGGACATTTGAACACAAACACGTCTATCAATCGTACAACAAATAGTAGTTATTCTGGCAAATTTACTGTTGTTCCTTTCCAAGAGTGTTTTAAATTCCTGAGCAGATGAAGACGCTCTGAGTAACCAGCTGAGGGATGAAAAAAATAGTAATCCAATTACAACATACTGCATATATATATATATATATATATATATATAGACGGCCGTCTTATCGTAGTATGGGACTCCTAATTAGTGCGCATCCACAACTTCGCATGCACGAATCGAGACAAACAACGATCTCAAGTGCGAACGCATAACCTCTAGAACGTTGAGTCGAGATTCAAAGGTGTTAATGTCTAGCTCCAATTAATCCACAACATTGCGCAGCCGTCTAGTGCTTCCAGGTTTTAAAAGGTTGTTTAACTCAGATCAGTTCGTGATTTCAATGAAATTCAACAACCACTACAATTCCTTACTAATGATCTATGATGTTTTTTAGCTACTACTACTCTTGATGGTACAAAATATTCCCTCTTAAACATCACATATATTTTAAATGCTTTTTTTAATTATTTGTATTGACTCTATTTGAATCTTTGCTCCACTATGATGATATATATTCACTTCTAACCAACCTACCTAACTTGTATAAGTATTTTGACTTTTATGCATAATTTTGATTTTAAAATACTATGGGTTGTAACAGTTGATAAGAGGTTAACAAAAGAAAATGAAATGATGTTATTCTGCTCAAATCTTAGTTGTTGTTCGCTTCAAAATAAAAAGGAATGGTTAACATTTGATGATCGAAACACTACTGGAATCACATTATAAGGAGATAATAATAATAATAATCAGGAAGATGTGGATTCATAAAATACTTAATAAACGATTATTTTATAATATTAGTATATTTGAATTAAGGCTGACATTGGAATTTAGGACGGTTGTTTCGTCCTATATAGGATTCGTCAACTGGATGTCAACAAAGACTCCTCAAACATAACCAATACGAGTAATACAAACCTGTAATTATATATATATATATATATATATATATATATATATATATATATATATATATATAAACTTACCGTCCATTTGCATTACCATCGGAATCATCATCACTAGAATATAGATTTTTCATGTTCAAATAACCTAATAGTAGACCATCCGCACCAATAAATAATACTTCATAAAGACTTAACCAGGCGAAACAACTCAATGGACTAAATAAACAAGTGTTCTTCTGTTTTAACTCAGTTAAGATTAAAGAATTCAATGATTCGTCATTGCCGTTGCATTCAATGAACAGTCTATCCATACTGGAATACAATTTGAGAAAAAAAGAACGGAATTGAAATACAGTAATAAAAAAGAGTTTGATTGGCTGAATATATGAGAGACTTATATACACTTGGACAGTTAGAAAATATGTTGCACAAGTCCTTTAAGAAGCTCTCATATGACGGTAATTGATGATGAGAACTAAGTCTATTCCCCTAAGCACAAAATAGGACTCCATGGGACGTCTCTATCATTTCAGAGACATTGATCATAAAGTCTGAATCATTCGATTATGATTTTAGATTTGATGTGTAACAATTTTTTAAATTCATAATGTAAAAAGAGAGATAAAAATTATTTACAAGATTATAATTAACTACATACCAACTGACAGTCAACTCTCGCATCAAGTAGTCAACAAGAAGGACTTCCTCTACCTCAACATGTGATGGCGATTTATTCAAAAATTGTTTGCAAAAGAACATTCGATCAACTAGAAGACCCTAATCTCTTAGACTAAAAATGATCTTTATGTTACATTGAAAAAGCCCCGACAGATCACATGGACAGAGATGATGGGTGAGGAATCTGTAAACTGGTGGGTTATTCATCTCATCAAGGAAATTGCATATACATATCCAAATGGACTAGTCTAGTATGATATATATATCGTCCGATGTTTTTCGAAACGGTAGGTCAAAAAGCAGAACATCTTGAAGTCACTTTGATTCTACAGTTCATAGTGTGACGTTGTCTGATACAAAGTTATAATATTCAGTAAAAGAGGCTCACTCGATTTTAACAACAGTTTTTGGCCAAGGTGCAATATTTTTTCCTCCATTATGCCATTCAGAGTACACCTCACCATTACAAAATGACTCCTTCTCTAAAGAGGTTCCATTTGTGATAGTAATAAAATACGTATTTGGAAATACATTTTTGGATGACTGACAGTCGACTGTTTGAATTAATATAGGCATAACATTGTTTGGCGAATCCGATTCATTTCCCAACCATAAACTAGGAATAGATACAGATGAAACAGATGGAGTGAAATTACACTGTGTCTTATTAGATTGGTTTACACCATTTGAATAAAATACCAGTCGTGTTGCAAACATTGGAGGTGGAATAACTGAATAAGCAAAACAACTCATCTCGACGGTATCTAAGGTGAGAAATATGGAAATAAGGAAACGAAACAAGAAGTGAAATAAGAGGTTGTTATTATAAATTGTAGCATTTCTACGTGTATTGATAAAAAATTATTGAAATAATGAACAGATATACTCATTTAATAAAAATAATACGTCAAGAAACCTTTAAATCTTAGCGACAATCAAACAATTTTTGGAAGTTTATTTAGGTTGGACACACAAGGATTTCATTGAAGGAGCAACTAAAAAAGAGTATATTTCTTTTAATCACTGATTGTTAAGGGAAATCTGATCATACTTAATTCTGTGTTTACTATTTCCCATATCATTTTATTGCAGAAGAAAAAGCATGTTTTTTTTGGATAGTTATGTAGTTTACTGATAATTGTTCACTTAAAGCTTTGGTTTCGTAAGCAGTCAGCTCCACATTGCATTACTTTGAATTATCTAACAATCATCATTCTACTCATTACTTTAATAATCAATCAGCATTCGAATCCTTACAAACTCATTAAAAAGCTATAATCTGTAATTTTTTTAATTCAAATAGTGTCGAGCAATAAGCTAGGACACATGTTCCATTCGATTGAGGATTCTTTAGCAGAATTTACCTGTATCTCTAAGTTCATGTTCATATTAATTCCGATCCGATACCTTTAGTTTCAAATGCAAACATATCATTATCCACTGGAGCTACTGGGTCCAGAAATTTAGTAACTTTTGAAGCAGATATGAATTGGATTTGTAAGGGTTTATATCGTTTCTCACTGTTAATGTTGGTACATTTGCATCCTGAGTAAATTGTCTCGTTTTCCCGTTACAAATTTTGATTCATGAAAGTTTTGTGCAAAAACTATTTAGTTTAAAGACATTTTTTCTTCAAACAGTATAATGTCCATCAGAAAATCAGTAAGCACTTGGAAGCACTGAACATTATTTTCTTCTAATTTAAGATTTCCTAAACAGTGGCCATCTAATTAGGCGAAGATAAATGATGATTACATTCTATCGACACATTAATCAGTAAAAAATGTTCTCAATCAGTTGAAAATAATGTTCTAACAACTGTCATATGAGTTAAGGTAGATAAAATAATGTACTATGTACATCAGTTCACATTTGCATACGCCATGTAATCACAGAAAATGTATTATAAAGTAAATACAAAGTTACGTAGTATGATGATACTTCCGAACTGGTATTTTACAACTAAGTATTTTATTAATCAATAATACAAATTTAAACGGGTATAACTTACAGCTGTTAGCACCTATAAAAACTTCAGATACTCTACATACGAACAATATGGTTTACCGGTTGTTGCGAAAATCTTATATCCAAATAGACATGAATATGACAATTAATAATTCAATTTGAAATGGTTTGGATTATTCCGTTGTCGATGTGTTTTGACTTGATTGGAATATGGGCATTCTGTGTGGGTTGTCTCGACATAACGATTATTGATACCAGTCGATATAGAATACAATCAAGACTGATCAAATTTCAGCCAAAAATATTAACAATGCGATAATTCAAACCATTTTAATTTGAATTAAATCGCATACCTGATGCATAAATGAGTGGCTATCTAAACTCAGTAACTAAGTGGTTAATGCGATGGAGTTTTAAGCAGACTGGATTGGGGTTCGAGTCCCCGAGCGAAAATCAACTCTAGGATGCAGGTACATCCAACTGACAAGTCCCAAATAGGATGAAACGCACGTCCTAGATTTGAAAGTTAGTCACATGCATTCCATCTATTTGCGATAACGAATGAATTTTAATAGTGAACAAATAGTAAAAACATAATTAAAAGGCTTACTTCCATTGATTACTGCAACAAGACCAGAATTTAATGATGTTATTATATTTACATTAGAATTTGTTAATATGCACGATGAATTATAAACGTTATTCATTTTCCAGCATTGCAATAACGTCTTACGGTTAACTTGATTATCATTAGGCAACGACTCATTAATTGATATAGCACAATAAAGAGCTGACAAATCTGCACTGTAAGCATGATGATCCCATGTTAATGATATATTGGAAATTTGACTATCGTTTAATGAATTGTCAGCTATACAGAAATGTTGTTTTATTGACCATTGATAATTAGAGCAAGTTAGTAGTCGAACTGCAGACAAATTAGCAAAGAGAGATAGAGACTCCGATATATATGTTTCATCTTTAAGTGATGTAAATATGTTGATGAAGCGTTTACTATTCAAGTGGCAATAGAAAAATATTTGAAAAAAAAACGGTACCAATAATCGTTATTACTTACTTACATCTGTTACCCCTCGTGGAGGAACATAGGTGCCCACAACTATTCTCTATCCAGTTTCGTCCTGGGCATTCCTTTCCATTTGCTATTCGTCATTTTCATGACTGATTCCAATTATCGACGCAGTGTGTTCGTCGGTCTTTCTCTTTTCCGTTTCTCTTCAAGACTCCAGGTAAGCACTTGCCTCGCGATGCAGTTTGATGATTTCCGTAATGTATACCCTAGCTATCTCCAACGTCTTTTCCTAATTTTCTCATCAGCAGAAAGCTGGAGACTTTAATCGCCAGCTTCATGGCGTTATGAAGTTGCAACAATGCTGATCTATACTTTTCGGTGGAACGGTAGCTAGCCTAGAAGCTAGCTCGGTTCGATACTTACGAGCAACAGAAGTTGCAATCAACTTGCTGACATCAAACCTTTGGTGGCGGTCACTTCGTTGGCCATTGAAAAATGAGGTGAGATTGGCGCAGACCAGGGCATGATCAGAGTTCAGATAGGTACTCCAAAAGGAGCGGCAGTCTTGTACACAACCACGCCAGCGGTAGCTGATCGCGATGTGATCAATCAGAATCCAGGCTTGAGAACCAGAGGGAAGACGCCAGGTGGCACATCGGCGATGAATGTGCCAGAAGTTAGTGTCAGCCAGAAACAGGTTGTGGTCTGAGCACGGTGGCAGTAGACGGTCACCATTATCTGACTTGCGACCAACAAGTCCCTATCGGCCACGTAAACGACTCTCTTCTGTGCCTAGATGACCGACCTGAACATTCAAGTCTCCGGCTAGTACTACAATATCTGTCAAACGCACTTTCTGGAGAACAGTTAATTGATGGTAGAATTCATCTTTGATTGCATCCGGGCTGCAATCTGTCGGGGAATAGGCGAAGATAACGAAAAGACATCGTTTCTCACCCCGATTTCTTCTCACTTTGATGTAACTTTCTAATCTAACAGCTTATAACCCACTGTTAAGGAGGATCCAATTGATTAGTGCTGCCTCAGCTCTAGCGCTTAGTGCGACACCAACGCCAGCAAGACCAGATGAAGATGCCACAGGGTCCCCAGATAAACGCTCGTAAAACAAGCCTTTTGAGGCGACAGATGGAGAGCGAATTCGTAGTACTTCACTAAAGTCTTGAATACGGGTCTTGGTCTCGGGTAGGCAGCAAATGTCGATATTAAGACTTTCTAAAGCCCTATCTGTTGTCCGATTTGGATTAGTGTGCGAACGTTGAAGGAAGCTAGTTTGAATGGCGTACGTGGTTACAGAAAGACTGTTTCGTATTTGTATTCGGTGAAAGCATTCAACTCCCGACCAGGCAGTGACTCGAGATCGTTTAGGTAGAACAGTTTCCACTATGGGGGAGCTGCTGTATAAGTTGAAAAGTGGGTATATATGAAGTGAGAATAAACAGTGATAAGTGATGTAGTATATATATCATCTCGTGGTCCCCAACCAGGTAGTCTACACCTACCAGCATGACTCAGTCCACTTGTCAGTGACTTTATGGACTTGTGACATGTTTTGGTCTGGCCGCCCCTAGCTTTCTTCCAACCTACTCCTATACCACTGAACATAGCACGTCGAGGCAGTCGGTCGTTGGGCATACGTAACACGTGTCCCAGCCATCTCAACTGATGAAGTTTCACTACTTCATCAATTGATTTGCCATCCTTACCTAGTACTCGTTTCCTAGCAACTGCACTACTTACTCGATGGTCCCACGATTTACGAGCAATATATCGAAGACACCTATGATCGAATACTAGTAACCTACGAATATCCTCTACTCTTACCGGCCATGTTTCACTGCCATAAAGTAGGACGGGACGAACTGCTGCGCAGTAAACACGTCCTTTGGTTGATAGACGGATATCTCGCCTACGCCATAAATGACGCAAGTTGGCAAAAGCTAGTCGAGCCTTCTGTGTCCGTCACACACCAGATCACAAGGGCTGATGAGACTTCCAAGATAAGTGAAGCGATCGACACGCTCAACTACTTCACTCCCTATCATTAGTTCGGGTGTCGATGCAACCCAATCCTGAAGCAACATTTTGCATTTCGAGAGGGAGAATCGCATCCCGAACATGCTTGCATTGTTGCTTAGAGTGGTCAGAAGACTCTGCATTTTGTCAGCGTCTTCACCAAATAAAACTATGTCATCAGCATATTCTAAGTCAACAAGTGAACCTCCTGGTAGAAGTTCAACCCCTGAAATTTAGATGAGGAGAGTGTTATCTCTAAAAGTACGTCAATGACAAAGTTGAACAAGAATGGGGAGAGTGGACAGCCCTGACGAACACCACTTGAGGTAATCAATTCTGATGACAGTTCGCCATAAGCTCTCACTCTACCAGTTGTGTTCGAGTAGAGAGCCTTTATAAGGTTAATGTACTTCTTTGGTACTCCTTTCAGTGACAAACACTGCCATAGAACCTCACGATCAACAGAGTCGAATGCCGCCTTAAGGTCGAGAAATACTACCATTGTGGGGCGTCTGAATGTGTGTCTGTGTTCTAGAACCTGACGTAGTGTGAATATCTGATCTATACAACCACGTCCAGGTCGAAAACCAGCCTGGTTTTCTCTAATCTGCTCTTCACGAGCTTTGATTAGGCGTCGAAGTATTATTGAAGCTAATATTTTAGACACTATATTAGTCAAACTGATTCCTCTGTGATTGTCACAAGAGGACTTTTGTCCTTTCTTATAGACTGGCACAATCAGTGATTGAGACCAGTCAGATGGGATTACGTCCAGTTCCCAAATTCTACCTAAGACCTCAGTTAATCTCATTGCTAATACTGGACCACCATCCTTAAAAATCTCAGGAGTAAACCTGTCAGGGCCTGCTGCTCTCCCTCGTTTCAGATTTCCTATGGCTTTTTCAACTTCGTAAAGAGACGGAGGACCTACATTAACTTGCCATTCAGGTTGACTGGAGATCGTGGGAAACCGAAGTGTGGCTGAAGGCCAGTTGAACTGATCCCTAAAGTGTTCTGCCCATCGATCCAATCTCCTGGATTGAGAATGTATAATATGTCCATCTTTCTCTGAGAGTGTTTCGCTAACAGTCGGTTCCTAATACCGGTTTCCTTAACGAGTCTGAACAATTGTCTGCTATTACCTATTGCCGCTGCCTTTTCCATCTCTCTTGCTTTCGCTACCCACCACTGTTCACGATCATTGCGTAGACTTCTTGTCAGCTTGCGCTTAAGCTGACTCCACTCTTCGTTATGTTCAGAGCTAGATGGAATGAGTTTTCGAGCATCTATCAGTGGGATAGATGCTGCTGAGATCCAGTGTTTCCCCCTAACCTAACGGGTTACCGTACTAGCAAATATCACTGCTGTTTCCACAGCTTTTCGGATATCATTCCATGCTGCATCGGGGTTGGCATCACCAACATGGCTGCCTAACTGTTTTCCTAGTTGTTCCTGAAATATACTCTTAGCTTGACTATCATTAAGTAGGCCCTAAGAGGTTTCCTTGCAGCGTCTTTCCTACGTCCAGTAAGACGTAGGCAAATACGCGCTCGCACTAGAGCATGATCTGAATCTGAGCATGTGCTCCAGAATGAGCGACAGTCTTCTATCGAGCCTCTCCATCCGTGGCTGATAGCGATGTGATCAATTTGGGTCCAACGTTGGGAAGAATTCGGGGATCGCCGTGTTAAAAGATGTTTTTGCTTATGCTTAAAGTTAGTGTTTGCAAGGAACAGGCGGTTATCTGAGCATAACTGCAACAGACGGTCGCCATTATTTGTTCTTTGAGCGACAATGCTATAAGATCCACCCAGGTGTCCTTCCTTTCTAATTAATTTACTTACTTGAGCATTAGTCACTAGACACTATTACTACATCCGAGCGCCTAGCGTTTCGGAGGTTGGGGAGCTTTCTGTAAAACTCATATTTGACATCATCTGAGCTGTAGTCAATAGGAGAGTAGGTAGAGACGACGAAGAGGCAACGACGAGTGTCCCTATCTTTCCGAGTCCTTACTGTCCCGTTTAGTTGGACAGCGCACAAACGACTGACTACTGGGATCCACTCTAAGAGAGCTAGTTCTGCCCTAGGACTTAATGCTATACCTACGCCGGCGAGGCCGCGAGAAGCAGCATCAGGGCTTCCAGATACACGAAGTGTGAATCGAGTTGGTCCTTTATTTTGAAAGGGTGAGGTCAAGTGAATGATGCTACTCGGATCCTGTATGCGCGTTTCGGAGACGCAACACACATCGATGGCGCGAGATTCTAAAGTCCTAGCTAAGGAAGCCTGTTGTCCTATTTGGCACAGTGTTCGGACGTTAAAAGCTCCTACATGTAGTTTAGAGCGTGGTTTCAGAAGACCAGGAATAACGTTCCGCGTACTCGAATCGTTTGCTCTAGCGGTGCGAGGTGATAAAGGGACGTGAGGAGGGTTAGTTGGGGAGATAAGAGAGTATCAGGAGGTGTAGGAAGGATTTTAATGTGACCAACTTGGTCTCGTGTTCTGTTACGGGTATGAGGGCTGGCGTCACTTCCCGGCTGCCCTCACCGTGGAAGGCTATTTCTTGAGAAACCTGAAAAGGAAGATGAATTAGTGTTGGTTTTAACGACCTGAGAGCGTGACCGCAGAGCCCAGGGGACAACAGATTGAGGCCGGTCGCGCACGGCCTTTTCGTGGGAGGTTTTTGATGTGTTAGCTCCGTTCTTCAAAGGGTCTTACCGCAGGAGACGGAAATCTGTGAGGTAAGGTGAGGTGTGACATTTTCAGAGTCAACCTTTTCTAACCCCTTTCTTCCGTGTGAGAAGGCAGCACCGTTGTAGATGCTGGTTGTCTGAGGGAAACACCTTACTGCTGTCACACCCCTCTACAGTCAGCAGTACGACTTCGACCTCAGACCTTGAGTTGCTGCTTTTAGTCTTACCGTTCTCCAATCGACCTGTCTGGCATGGTAGAACCTACAGGAACATATGTTCCAGCCAATATAGCTCGGTTGGGTCATCACGATAGGCAAGCCCGACCACCGCGTCAAGGTAGCAGCTACGGTCGAGCCACAGCTCACCTCAACTGGTGATATTCGTTGGTGTAGGAGTAGGCTGGAAAGAAGCCAAGGAGAATCAAACCAAGACATTACATCAGTCGATGAAGTCACCCACTCTGGTATTGAGCTTTGTTGATAGGTTTGAACTACATGGTTGAGCTTCGCGTAATAAACGCTGTCAAATATGACTTAAAGAAAAAGCCAGCAGTGTTTCTATGATTTTCTATTACACTTCATAAAAAGTTATATGAACTTCCCAAACTGAAAAAGCTCTCCTTGGCTGCATTATCAGCTGAACAGTATATTTTATCAAATACAATTCTGACTCACGTATCGACTGTACCACAGTTTCCTACTTTATTTCTTTACAATACTATTGATTGATTTCTGTGATGCATTATTTTGGTGTCAGGTTGTACCAGAATTTATGCTTTAAACGAAATAAGTAGATTTCCTAACTGTGCAAATATTCTGATAAATGTTCTTATTTTATACTTGTTCTAACTAAACGAGTATACATGCTAATTGTCTTATGCATTCATATGCATCCAATCATTCAGTAATGAAATACTGTGAAATTCATGGAAAACTACCACATTAGTTATCTCATCATCTATTCTTTGGAAGAACAAAAGGAGATTACATTATAATTCATATATGAAACATACGCATGTATGCATAAATACGCGATATAAAAAATGTCATTACAGAGGAATCCACTGCAACATTACATATTTTGTACTGAAAATCCTTTAATGTAACCAAACGTGGTGAATATCATTACTAAGGTTTGACTTGGTAATTTTAATTAAATTGACAAGTGAGTGGATTTTTAATAGCAATAACAAAAATAACAATATATAGTAGAAATCCAATTTCCTGTTCACTATTATTAGCAACACCGGTTGAATAAGAGTATTGTTATTGACAAGACACAGAGTCAACCTATCAAGTCATTGATTGTTAGTCTAAATTATGATAGTAAATGCAGACTAACTGGTTGTGATCTGCGTGATAACTACGATCAGTGCCTGAAGACTTAGGGTGATATAACTCAGCATCGCTCATAATGGCACATATGTATCCATTATCTATCTTCTCAATTTTGAATTTCAGTATTTCTATATACATTTTTTTCACCCAATCTTTTTAAATTATATCATCATCTTTGATTGTTACTATAAATTAGTTTAGATCACTGAATAGCATCAATTAATCAATCATAGAAAGCTAGAGAGCACTGGTTAGGGGGTTATTATCATAGTATGCGATTTTTCAGATAGGTAGTTGCGACCTTTATCAGGGATCAAACACAAAGACTTTGAAAGCTCGTGGTGAGCGCTATACTTTGGATTCATTACTGAGCTGACATTCAGTGATTCGTATTTTTTCCAGTCAGACTGTTCCTACAAGTGACTACCCATCCCAATTAACAGTTTTAGGTTTAGTAATAATAAAATTCATCCTGATCTACATAAATGACCTACGCTCAACAGGAAACATACATAACATGTTTGTAATCTATCCAACAAAGTATTTTACATGCATCATTTTCGTTAGCAAAAAGGTGCATTTGAAATTAAGCACAGAAAAATACGAATTAGTAAATTTTGAGATTCTCATTCTACTAAATATTAATAGCACTTACTAAACCATGGATGGTTTTGAGTTCCACTACACAGTACTGCCAAAATTGAACCGGTCGGATTAAACATAATAGATTCCACTTGGTAAAACTTTTCAGATTCATCACCGATCAGTTCGAATTCTCCATGGCGTTGGGAGTTCGATTCAAAAAATATGATATCCAATCCACGACCTTCTCGACGTTGAGCCGTTGTGATTAATTGAACACGAGGTCTGAGGTTTTATAGAAATATCACGGTATAAGTTTATGGGTATACTATACATAGATTTTATTACACTGGGGATTGTTTAGGCTGTGAAATCTTAGCCACTGTTATGTGACATTGATAAGTGTTAACTAGAACTAAGCCCACGTAAGGGAATTCCAGTTGATTTTATCCAGTTACTGAGCACTAGTTACAACACTTTTGACTGCAAAAAATCTTACACAATCAAACCACAAGAAGTGGAACCATATAAAATTCGACTTCATCTATTTAACCAGATGATTGAGATAATACATTAATATGAACCTAGAGGAACCAACAATTAACTGATAGTCGATAACAATTAAAAACTAATCTGAGTACACAAAAAGAGATCACCTTAAAATGAAGCGGAAAAAATAACAAAGAAAACGATGAAATTAATCTACCTCCAACAAAGTCCTGGAGAAATCATATTTGTTATTTCAGTTGTTGAAAACAATTCACCAGTATCATTGTAGACGCGTATACGTCTACGATTCTCTGTTAATGGATCAATCCATGATACGGCGAAGTAAAGACCATCATCACGCCATGCAATTTCAAAACGACCATCATCATATTGAGTGTTTGAGACTGGTACAGTCTGATGTGAAAACAAAAATAAATGGATGGTGTCCTGATCAGTATGTATAGAGTAACTAAATTTAATACGTTTACTGAAATAATTACTAAGATCTAGACACACGGTGTGGCTAAAAACAGAATACTTTATACCAGAATTTTCCTCAATTTGAATATTTCCTTGCTTTACATTCCGTATTTTATCTACTTCTTTTGGTTAAAACACAATAAAGCACACTAGCCATGTCTTTCTGGATATATTTTTTTGGAGACGCCAAGAAGTTGCGACCACTAATCGCTATTCGATTATCTGCGAAACTTGAAAAAGGAAACATTGTATCTGATAAGTTACGATATTTACTTAAAAATCACGGTTGCCTACCTTCCGTTCAGCGCGAACCATAGAATTCCCTTCAATTGATAATTTATTTGCTTGTAAAAAAACGTAACAAGTAGATCTAGGGCAAGTAAGTGGATATCTTGATACTGTATGATTTCTTAGTGGTTTGATCGGTTAATTAAAACGATTATTTTTTTCGATGGATAGGTCCATTGACAAGTTTTTATGTGTAGAGGGGATTAGAAAAGGATAAAAAATTAACTGTACACTTCGGAGGGAATGTAACCGTTAAGTGGTGGCTTATTTGTTAAAGCATGCAGCTTTCAACCAACCAGCGCGTTGCATGTTCGGACTCCGATTAATCTAATTCGGTCTTACAAGGTTGCAGTTCTACTAACTCACACAAACACCATGTCAACTAAATAAACCTGTAATTGATAAACAGGTATATATTAGTACTTATTTATTAAAAATGAAGGTGAATTGAATAGATAGGAAACCTTTTCATGATTTGAAATAAATGTGTCTAGAACTGTTCCACTGGTTGATAACCGACTCATCTCAACATATAGTGAAGCCATAAATACTTACACGTAAATGAGAGCAGTCATTACTGATTTTATTAACCATAACAATTAACAATCAACTGCTGACCGGTGGTAAAAAGCACTTAATTTAAAACTATCTACAACACTGGGTGCAATGTTCACTTAGGAATTACTTCATTATAGTTCTGTCATAGCACACAGAAATTAAGTGGCAATCTAAATTCAACTGATATTAGACCACATTTAAATATTAACGGATCATGCAAGAAGTCATTTTTAATCACAAGCAATTCACCTTATACTTTTGCATACAATAGGATGTTTTGCCTCATTAGAGAAAGCAGAATGAACTGAGGATTTAATGGTCAATTCCAATATTTGCTCGATTTAAAGAAATCAGTAGTTATAACAAACAGGTAATCTATCATCTTGTATCATTCAATGGCCAGTATGTTGCATATTTTAAGAACTGAACGGTGCTTACAGTAAAAAGTCAAAACAGCCCTTCATAGTTTTGTTCATCTTTATTGAAGTTTCTATGGTGAATATGCTTACTCCCTACAGTAGAAGATAAAGCAATTCATGTTGAAAAAAATCGTTTTGTCAATTAAGCACGCCTACAACAAAAGCTAGAAAGCGATCCTATCATAAAGCACATTAATCATTCGTGTCGTTGATATTATTAAAAAGGCAAGTGAAACGAAGTTCATTAAGTATGCATTCACTTGCTTGGTTTTGGGTTACAATTAGTGATTGAGGGCTATCAAGGCCTAGGTAGATGCAGGAGGATTCGAACCTGTAAACTAATAGTTGAAGGCCAATTGTTTTAATTTGTAATACACTAAACTAGGAAAGGTGTGTTGATTTGTGCTGTTATATTTAAAGCCAACACATTGAAAAGGAAATTTATAAGTGGAACGAATATGTTAGAAAGTATTACGGTCAGTAGTAGAAATGAGTTCAAAAGACAAAATAGAACAAAAATCATGTTAAGTGAGACTATTTTTCAACCGTCACCTAAGATCTTTAACCACTAATTGTGATAATTTGATGGATTTGACAACATAACTCGGACAAATAGTCAGAGACTTTATGAACTTATCTGTCTTGGCCAGACCACTATCGGATATTTTTTTCATCTACTTATATGCTAACACCGTGTCAGTAATAGCAAAGTTCGACATTGTGTTCGGGCATAATAACTATTAGTGCTAACATATTGGAACACTGGCTTCGGGGGCTTATAAATGTCTTGTGAATACTGTCCTAACATATCTCACATCTCTGAGACTGACTGTAAAAAGAGGAAGTGACCTCTATATGACACCAAATATAGCTGCATAAGACTGACATCTGTCGGTCTATCACAGCTCCTTGATTGAGGTTTTAGGTATCATGCTACTAAGTAGCCTAAGAATTATCAGACACAGAACAGACTAGAAGTGTCAATCTTGGTGTAAATTTTCGACATTAGGATGAACCTTCTTAGCTCAGCAAAATTAATTTTGTTTTAAAGTTGGATAGTGACCAACTGTGGAATTCCTCGCAAACCCTTAAAAATAAAACTAATCTCCGTTGTATTTTAAACAGACTAGTATCTTTTTATGAAACATTATTCTTTCTCCTCTATTTATTGATTAGATGACTTTTTACTTTTTTTATTTCCGTACAACATTATGATGTCATTGTGTGGTGCGTTCTTGGTGTTATGCCAGAATTTTTGTACTGTGATGCTGGTTGTGGAACACTTGGTTAAGACTGCTAAAAGGACAACGTCAATGCTAACATATACTATCGTGAGTCATGAAGACGAGTCGATTTCGGTGCGTTGAAATGATAGAGACCACTTACCGGATGGTTTTGCTAATAGCTCAAAACCGAATATTATGGTGGAGATATATCTACTTTGTAGCTTTGCTTGAATTTTGTTGGGTTTTACTGGCTTTATCTAGTCATTTTGTTTTCACTACTCAACTCCCGACCGTAGCTGCTACCTTGACGCGGTGGTCGGGCTTGCCTATCGTGATGACCCAACCGAGCTATATTGGCTGGAACATATGTTCCTGTAGGTTCTACCATGCCAGACAGGTCGATTGGAGAACGGTAAGACTAAAAGCAGCAACTCAAGGTCTGAGGTCGAAGTCGTACTGCTGACTGTAGAGGGGTGTGACAGCAGTAAGGTGTTTCCCTCAGACAACCAGCATCTACAACGGTGCTGCCTTCTCACACGGAAGAAAGGGGTTAGAAAAGGTTGACTCTGAAAATGTCACACCTCACCTTACCTCACAGATTTCCGTCTCCTGCGGTAAGACCCTTTGAAGAACGGAGCTAACACATCAAAAACCTCCCACGAAAAGGCCGTGCGCGACCGGCCTCAATCTGTTGTCCCCTGGGCTCTGCGGTCACGCTCTCAGGTCGTTAAAACCAACACTAATTCATCTTCCTTTTCAGGTTTCTCAAGAAATAACCTTCCACGGTGAGGGCAGCCGGGAAGTGACGCCAGCCCTCATACCCGTAACAGAACACGAGACCAAGTTGGTCACATTAAAATCCTTCACTACTCATTTTTGAAATTTCAATTTTTGTTATCATCATATGGTGGGGCTACTTGGAATGGGTTAGTTTTGGATATATATTGCATAACAAATATTTATGTGTGCAAATTTTTACTAAGGTAAGTGCTTTCATAAACGAACCTAGAGATAACAATCAATTAACAGCGGACCCAATTTCCTCATTTCGGCAAACCCCAATAGACCCAAGCTCCCAACTTTTGAATGAATTTTAGGGCAACTCAGCTACAAATCTAAAACTTTACCTGGGTCTGAGATTTCCTAAGAATTTACCCAGATTCACCCGAAAAATCCCCACTTTGAGAAAGGGAAAACATATTACGAAGACAAGAAACCCATATTTACCAAAAGTTATCCATAGATAAAACAAATAAAAGGATTGTGCAGCCGTTAAAGGGACTCAAGAAAACCTACGAAACCAAAAAGCACGATAAATAGTTCATAGGCTAGTAAGTGAACCCTAATCCATACCGGTTTTGCTAAAGCTGCTTCCTTGCCTTCAGAGCCATGAAACTGAGTTTCTTTCTTACCCCAACCTAGAGAAACTGGCAGAGCTGAAGGGAGTTCATAGTAATAATAAATACCTACCCGACCCGAAACCTTCCTCGTACAGTGAAAAGTTGGATATAATTTCGAGAGTTGAAGAAAGAATATGAATAAAACCATCACCTGAAACTCTTTTGTTGTAAACCTACTTACCAGTTATGACAACCGTTTTTGAAAGATCTGGAGAAATACGCATAGCTTTTAATTCCGTGTTGAGATCAAGTTTTTCATAAATCTGCTTGCTATGATAATACAAAACAACATACTTGGTGATTCAGTAAATGCCAAAGAAATATTTCATTGGAACTTGCAACCAAGTATACAGGTGGAGATATCGCAAAACAACTATGTATCTCTTGTTGGGTGCCTTGAGCATGGTAAGTATTTATCTAATTACATATGTTTGTTGAGTCTCAAAAGACCTACCCCTGTGCTACTAATCACCTTGATACTTCTCTCAAAAGAAACAGTGATGTTATTAGAGCAGTCATCCAAAGAAATATGACGTGCGTTGTGACCTTCCAGCCACAAACCACCACAACTCGACAGATTGAGGTTACGCATGTTCTCGGGAATTTCACTTTGCCTCCACTACTTGACCAAGACAAATAGTAAAGACAATTTGCAAACTATTTCCAAGGTCAACAAACCTGGGTTTTTAGTCTTCAGTAATAACGATAGGAAATCTATCGACCTATATTGATCCTTGCAGTTTGCAAAACTGTAGAGGTCTAATCTCGTTTTGAATATATCAACAGAAGGTACTGATAATACGTGTTCTGATAGAGAATTCCATTAATTCACTACTCGATGCGAGAAACGAAACTCTAGCCGTAGATGATTTGATCTCGGTTTTGGGATTTTTTTAGATTGTCCTCTCAGGTGACCAGTCCTAGACGTAGGGAAAAGATATGACATTAGTACCAAAGTCATTTTTCAGTATACGACAAGCCAATAATAGATCACTCCGTTATCTGCGATAAGACAAGGCAAATAAGTTGAGGTGTCTCAGTCTGTCTTCATAAGATAGACCAGAGAGGCCTTTTGCCATTTTAGTTCCCCGTCGTTCAACTCGTTCCAGCATAACTACCTCATACTTGAAACGAGGACTCGATGCTTGAATCCTATATCCTACATTAGGTCTCACGAAAGTCAGATACAAATATTTCTTTGTTGAAGCAGTGAAAAGACCTACGAATAACCCATAATAGCCTAAGGCCTTTGGCGAGGGGTATTCGAACCCAGGACCTTCGATCGTGTGCACGAATGCCCAACCACTAAGCCGTCATCCAACTGTATCTTTCAACTTCGAAGATAGAATAACACTTGGTTAAAGAAGCCTCTCTGAATTACAGATACATTATTAACTGAAGTTACCATCTGATACGCTATTTTTCATTGATACCTTGTTGTTGAGCTTTACATTTTGTAACTTCTCGCAAAACGTGTTCACGGTCTGCCGCTCTAATCATCGAACACATAAGCAAGTGACACAGGTACAGCATTTTCTATTGTTTGTGACGTTGTAGCGGTAAATAAATCCCCAAAATAAATAGCACTAAGTTTTCGACATTGGATGCTGACCATATGTTTTAGTGGACTCATCTAGCTGAAGGCGCTCGGTCAGGCATCCGCACCAGATCACGTGTAGTAACGCCGTGCTCAACATCAACCACAATCGCTAGCCAGATTAGATCAGAGAATCCCGATATATTGGTCATCGCCAAATATACTCTTCCGATCTCCTCGACTCTGTCTTTTGATTTCTCTTGGTGGGAACGAAACATATTAGAAGGTGTTACTGGTAGAAGCGTTGTCAAACACTGAATACCTGTGACATCATCATTGGTGAGACCGTCGTGATCTGGTACACCTTATTGCAACTGTGAGTCTGTTCCTTTTTGGGATTTTTATATATCATTGCCTTATTTTTTATTTTTTTTAAACATTGTGATTTTTTTTCGTGTTTTTCTTGGATATATATATATTTTCCCCTCGTTCATTATCGTACTTCATATTTCATCATGACTGAACAGACACCTAAAGTACTCAAGCTTAAGACCTTGTCCCCACCTTCGTTTCAACTGATGCCTTTCTGGCCCGACAACATCGAAGCCTGGTTTTGCTACGCAGAAGCCGACTTTCCGAGCACGGCGTGATCGACACACGTGCACAATTCCTCGCAGTAGTCAAGGCACTACCGCGCGAATTCAACAGGTACGTAACACCTAGTATGTTTACTAGTGATGTTTCCGATCCTTACGAAATCTTAAAACGCTCGATTCTTAAACGAGGAGACCTAACCGATCGACAAAGGTTAGATCAACTCTTCAACAATATCGACCTGCAACACGGTTCTGCGACGGACATGTTGCAACGGATGAGAGAGGTTATAGGCCCAAGAACTTTCGACGAAGGTCTATTCAAACAACTCTTCTTGTCAAAACTTCCCCAACAGGTGCAAGCAGTTCTGGTCTCGTTCCAGAACAACGCCTTAGACGAACTAGCTGCATCTGCCGACCGCATTCTAGAAATTACGAAACCTACTACCGAGGTATTTTCAGTCAAAGAAAAGCCTCACACGACTCAGAATGACATAACCGACTTATGTCACACACTCACGCGTTATCTTAGTCTTCGTACCGACCGTAAGAGATCGCGCACACCACGTAGAAGCATTTCTCGTAAGCGATCTGTCTCTAGACCACGAGAGACAGATAACCCCGACTGGTGCTGGTATCATAACCAGTATGGAAAGTTTTCCAGAAATTGCAGAAAACCCTGCAATTTTCCCAACACGAAACCGACTGATTCGAAAAACAATTCGGGAAACTTCCAAGCCGGCACGCGTTAACGGCAACCGTAGCCGGCGAACAAAGCCGTCTGTTATTCGTCACAGATGTGACAACGAGAGTTCGCTACCTCGTCGACACTGGCGCAGAAGTTAGCGTTCTCCCAGCAAATCCTAACGACCGACTTCACGAATCGACCCTAAACTTACAGGCGGCAAACGGAAAACCGATCGCTACGTATGGCAAAAGGTACGTTTACCTTAACGTGGGTTTACGCAAACCCATCCACTGGATTTTCGTCGTTGCAGATGTTTCTATGCCAATCATTGGTATGGACCTTCTACAACACCACAATCTGATCATCGACACTCGCAAACGGAGGCTAGTAGACGGAAACACTAATTTGTCCGTTTGCGTAACTTCTTTTACTGGTTGTAGAGTATCCCCAGTCACAGTTAAACATATGATAGACCCACTCTATCAACCACTACTCGATAAGTACCCTGGGATACAACAAACTCAACCGAAACTACCGTGTGTAACCAGCAATGTTACACATCACATCACGACTACAGGACCACCTGTATTTCTAAAGCACGACGACTAGCTCCTGAAAAGCTAAGGTTAGCGAAAAACGAATTCGATCACATGATGGACTTAGGAATCATACGACCGTCAAGTAGCCCATATGCATCTCCGTTGCACATGGTCCCTAAAAAGGACAGCAACGATTGGCGTCCAACTGGTGACTATCGGCGATTGAACGCGAAAACCATTCCCGATCGTTACCCGTTGCCTCACATTCACGATTTGACAGCTACCTTGAAAGGTACAACTGTCTTTTCGAAAATCGACTTGGTTAAAGCGTATAACCAAATCCCTATGGCTACTGACGACATACCGAAAACGGCTATCATAACTCCCTTCGGACTCTATGAATTTTTGCGAATGCCTTTCGGTCTAAGGAATGCTGCTCAAACATTCCAAAGATTCATAGACGACGTTTTTCGAGGTCTCAACTTCGTACACGCGTATGTTGACGACTGTCTAATCGCAAGTCCGGACAGAGAAACACATCTCAAGCATCTGGACCTTGTTTTCGAACGATTACAAAAACATGGCATAACTGTAAACGTTCAGAAATGCCAATTTGGAACCGACTCGTTAGACTTTCTGGGACACACTATCGATGCTCAAGGTATCCGACCCCTTAGAACCAAAGTGGCGGCCATTCTGGATTACCCAGAACCGACCACCGTCAAGCAATTACGCACGTTCAACGGCCTGGTAAGTTTCTATAGACGTTTCATACCCAAATGCGCATTACTTATGAAACCTCTGACCGACCAACTTCGTGGAAATGCGAAATCCATTAATTTGGACGACACCGCACGAAAAGCATTCTCCACAGTTAAGGAACTGATTGCTAAAGCAACAATGCTCGCACATCAGGACACCCGAGCACCCATTAGCATCGCAGTAGACGCATCCGACTCAGCAATCGGAGGAGTCTTACAACAATGGGTTAACAACTCCTGGCAACCCTTGGCATTTTTCTCTAGAAGGTTGCTAGACACCGAATCGAGGTACAGCACATTCGGTAGGGAACTCCTAGCTATGTATTGTGCTGTACGGCATTTCCAACACTATATCGAAGGCCGTGAATTCACTCTTTTCACGGACCATAAACCGCTCACTTTCTCGTTAAGCTCTCCTTCTGACAAGTACTCTCCCCGTGAGTCTCGACAACTGGACTACATTTCGCAGTTTACTTCAGATATTCAACACATCTCTGGAGCAAACAATGTAGTTGCAGACGCCTTATCTCGCATAACTTCCTTGAACAGTTTCCAAGGAATCGACCTTCTTAAACTCGCCGAGCTTCAAAAAGAAGACACTGATCTTCAGCACGAGTTATCGTCCACAACACTTAAACTACGCATCAAACAGATGGGAACAGGTAAGGAAACCTTACTTTGTGACACATCTACAGGTAGGGATCGCCCAATCGTGCCGAAACATTATCGACGCAATGTCTTCAACACATTGCACAAACTTTCTCATCCAGGTGTTCGTGCAACCATCAAGCTTATAGCAGAACGATTTTGCTGGCCTGGCATGAATAAAGACGTGAGGGAGTGGGCACGCTCCTGTGTAAGCTGCCAAAAATCTAAGGTTATCAGACACAATAAATGTCCCTTAGGCTCGTTTAAAACTCCCGATGCTCGTTTCGACCATGTTCATCTGGATTTGGTAGGACCTTTACCAGATTCAAATGGATACTCTTATCTCTTAACCTGCGTAGACCGTTTCACTCGATGGCCAGAAGCAGTACCTATCAAGGACATCACTGCTGAAACAGTGGCCCGCACATTCGTCGAACGATGGGTAGCAAACTTCGGTTGCCCTTCAACCATCACTACAGACCGCGGACGTCAGTTTGAATCTGATCTTTTCCGTCGTCTGACCACACTTTTAGGAACCACTCGCTTCCGAATGACTTACGATATAGTACACACGTTTTCGTTCGTCGAGACTCACATCGACGACCATTCGAATCAACATACGAAGGACCCTTCAAAGTTCTTCAACGTGAATCTAAGTACTATATAGTCGATAAGAACGGAACCAACGATAGCATCAGCATCGATCGCTTAAAAGCAGCGTATTTAGAAGGAAATCCTATCTACGTGGATTTTCCTTCGGTACAATCGAACGACATGACTCCGACACTTATAATACCTCATCCGACAACCAACACACGCGATGATACTTCGACAGTATCCGAAAATAAACTTAAAACGACGCGTTCTGGAAGAAGGGTGAG